AAAAGTGAAAATTATTTGTCAGCCTGTTTACGTTTAGGCATATGCTGAAATGACTTGATAATGACACAGCCAGGCTGCCATCACCAATGCTGTTTTTGACAGTGATCTGGGGTGCGAAGTGAGCCTCTCCAGCCAGTCCGTGAAAACTCCTCTTGTAAATCCCTGGGCAGAAAGCAAAGAGCTAAAAAAAACCTGGACAGTTCCTTCATGTGAGCTGCAAGCATCGGGGCCTGATGTTGGGACTCCCTGGTCCCCTGGGAAGAGGTGGTTTGGAAACTTCTCCACTTACAGCCCTCTGTGAGGAAAGGGACCGAAGGGCCACGCTCTCCCCAGCATGACCGCAGCAGGTCACCTGCTGCAGAGCAAGAACCAGCACTAAAGCACAAGCAAAAAGACGAGCTATGAACTGAAGTGGCATCCTCGAAGGAAGAGCAATGCATGGACCTGGGTGGTAGTGGTGTGCCATGTGTGGGGTGACCAGTGACCTGGTGGGCACCCGAGTCACTGCTGGGCTCAGGCTAAGGGTGTCCATTGAACAGCGTGGCAGAGCTGGTGCACTCAGCAGGGGTCCCAGGACACCCAAAACCTGCTGCATTTCAGTTTCCTCACCTTCCCTGTCGTTGCCGCCACTCAGTGCAGTGTTTCCCCTACAGGCTTGGCATAGCTTTCGCTTATTACGGTGTCATCTTGGCCAGTGCCGAGTTACTGGAGAGGGACCTGGTCTGTGGCTCTGCAGCACCACCCGTGCAAGACTCCAGCGATGACTCCGAGGAGAGCCGCAGCCCCTGCCACTGCCACTTGTTCGGGCCCGCCGCCTACCAGACCATGATCATCAGCACAGTCGGAGAGATCGCACGTAACCTCCGCTCCTTCCCTTCTCACAGCCAGCTAATACTTGCCGCAAAGCTTTTAGCTTTGCGCACACTTAAGTGATGTGCCAGGGGTCAAAATGTCCTCTGTGGTGCTGGCAAGTGCCAGGCACAAGCTCTTCAAATGAAGGTCTGGGACACAGGCCATGAGCTGGTGGCAAGGGGCAAGGAAGGGCATTGCTCCCCAGGTGAATAATTCAACTTCAGCACTGGTCCTTCCAATAGCAGAGCCAAAGACCTTCTTTGCAGTTAGTACATACTGAGAGCCTTGGCTAAATTCCAGGGGAAATTGCTCCTAACTTACCAGAACTGAGCCTGGCTTCCCAAATTCCTAGACATGTAGTTTTTGGAGTCATAAATAAGCAAAGATTGCAAATAGTGGGATTGATGTAACTGAATGCACCACATAAGTGCCATACTTTCAAAGAGACGGTGGCCTCAGGAGCAGGTCCTGTGTGAGCACCACAGTATAGGACAGCTAAGTGCCCAGGGCATCTGCAGCAAACCAAAATGCTTCCTCACTCCTGACTGGGAGCACTGGGGGGATAGCAGGGTGGCCCAAAGGCACCCACATGACGAGAGAGAACCCGGCACTGTGTGTGGGTCAAGTATTGTAACACCTCTGAGAGACGAATGTTTTTGCTGGTTCATGTCTCAGCAACGAGGTACAAAGCAACCAGGTGTTGGATCCTGCCGTTTTTGCTAGCTCATGTCTCAGCAATGAGGTACAAAGCAACCAGGTGTTGGATCCTGCAGGTGTAGCCGGGCTGGGACCAGTCCAGTGATGTGCTCAGGTGCCTGCTTGGCTCCCAGCTCATGGGGGGACTCAGCGGGGCACAGTCTGGGCCCCAGAGTGGCTGAGCTGTGGCCAGAGGGAGCAAAAGCACCCAGGCCTGTGGTGCTCACCCAGTGGGTGCCTTCCTTGCCTGTGCTACGCATGGCTCAGGACCAGTGCTGCTGTCCTACCGTAGCAGAGCACGGTAATTTCAGAGGAAGGACAAACAAAACAGAGAGGGCAAATTACAGGGTTTGGGTATAGGAAGAGAATGATAGGATTTGTGCATTTGGTAGGTGCTGGGGATGCAGAGAGGCATTTTTGAGGCACACTGCATAAAGTCTATAAAGACAAACAACAGTTAGGTCATCTAACATTTTACAGTTTTCCTTTGTGTCTCCAGTAAATCCTTTGAACATTCTTGGCATCAATTTCCTCGGAAGACGCCTGAGCCTGTGTATCACCATGGGATGTACGGCGCTATTCTTTCTTCTCCTTAACATCTGCACCTCGAGGTAGTCTTGCTCAGCATGTGGGTGTTGTTGGGGGTGTGTGCAATGCTGCGGGCAGAGGGCAGTATCTGTGGTAATCTCAGGTCACCAGTAATTCTTCTACGTCTGAAAAAAACCCTCTGACCAGTTCCCTGCACTGCCCAGGAAAGCTGTGGCAGCAGATACTGTAATGCAGGGATGTGCAGAGCAACTCACTTGTATCACTGAGCCCACACAGCTTCCCCTAAGCATGCAACTAGCTGCTTTCTACTGCAGTCTGGAAAATTAAAAATTATGTGAAGAACATCCACCAGAAAGAAGTCACATTATTCTTTCAGTCTCTTCCCCCTCCCCTCCCTTCATTTTTGGCAATGCTACATATGGTCTCCTCTAACTTGTAGAGTTGGGCACCTCAAAAGGAGCTCAAGCATCAAGGAAAGGCTGCCATGAATGTGTAATTATCAGGTTGATTTGTGAGGATGTGTAAGAAAGACACCTCTGAAGCTGGCAGAGCTTAATGGTTACCAAAAACCAGGATGGCTTCAAGTTGAAGTTTCCTCTAAAGTAGCTGACAGGTGAACACCCCTGCTGCCTGCCCCCTGGGCCACTGGCCCTGGATGTTGGCTGAAATACTTGGGAGCTGGAGAGGGAAGCTGCAAATAGTCGTTAAGCAAAATGAGCCCCTGTCAGGAAGCTTACAGTCATTTGCTAAGGCACTGGCCTCTGTGCTGCTATTATTGTTATTTTTTCAGTTTTCCCTGAAACTGAGCCTGGTCATCATATTTGCTTGCAACAGTTTCACAGAGAAACCAAAAGCAAGGGCCGGGCTGGAAGACTTGACCGTAATGCTGAAGGCGCCAGCTGAGCTACTACTGCTCTGTTCAGATCATTCCCTCCAGCCTCTAACACTGGCCTAAAGGAAACATGCAATAGCCTGTTGTCAAACATGCCTAAAGAAAGATTATATTTGTCAGCAATCAACCTTTCCTTACGCTTTCCCCTATATTAAGCTGGTACAAGCCTTAGCACAGACCATAGATTAGGTTGCATCTCTGCTGATCACTGTTCAGTGATACTCTTTGCTCCACACGGCTTTCTCTCCAGTGCAGGCATGACTGGGTTTCTCTTCATGCTGCGTGCCTTGGTTTCAGCGAACTTCAACACCATCTACATTTACACAGCAGAGGTGAGTCCTTCTGAAAGTACATTAATCTGCCCTGGGACATGAAAGCCCATTTGGCCATACCCAGCAAAGCTGCTGTATTTATTGACTAGGTAGAGCCACCTTTCTTGAACTAAGTACCTCTGGCTTCCTTGCCACCCGAGATCAGAGAAGAAATGAGATAACTAGTTGGAAGTGACAAGAGCACGTGGAAGAGGAATGCCCTACTGAGCCACATGTTGGTCAGCTACTACAAAACACTATTTTTGAAGATGTTGAGTACCACCGTCTTCCAAAATCCACAATCTTTTCCCTCCCCAACTCCTGCAAAGTTAGAAAATAGGCTATCATGGAAAGAAACCTTTGTGAGCACTTAGGGAATGATGTAGTATATGAGGTAGTATATACATATTTTCTCATTTAATAGAAATTCTTGTGTTCTGTCTGCAAATAGTTTTAGTCCTTTGGAGACCTTGTCCTCCACACAACTTTGGAGCCATGAGTTCTGTGGGTTAAGTATGCATTGTTGGGGTTTTTTTTCTGTGGGTTTTGGTTTGGTTTTTTTTTTTTTTTTAACAATTGTGTGGAGTTAAATGTATTGCCATCCAGATTGAGTAAAAGCAAACAGCAGCAGCTCCCCCTCGGTTGACCTGATATTTCTTTTAATAGCACACTATATTTAAGCATGCACCAGGCTTGATTAAATACTAACCTTTTAATACTCCTGAATTGTGTGCTCTTGATGACCATTGCTGAAACAGCCATATCACAAATCAATACTACTCACAATTTCATCACTGATCAAAACCAAACTTGGAAACCCGCTTTCCAGCCACATGCCTAGACTCTTCTCAAATTACCTTACCTCCGTTGGCTTGGCACAGTAAAGTATTTAAAGAAAGGCTTGCATGGAGTATGTTTGCTAAAATCTATTGATATTAACAGGTCTTAACTAAAGTTAAGCAAAATACATGCTTAAGTGCTTTATTGGCACAGGTGTTTGGGAGATGTGAAAAAGAAAATACACAAACCACATTCTTCTGAGCCTGGAGGTTTCTTATTGGGATCTGTTTTTCTTTTTCCTCCTTCTAAACGAAAGCCCTGTTGATACAAATAAATAGGCACTGTTGAAGGCTGCAGACAATATCCTTTCCTCCTGCTTTCCAGATACAGGGCCTGGCAATGTAAATCGAATTCTTCCTTTAGCACCCAGCCTATCTGCTGTGATTTTGATGTGAGCTGCCCAGCACAGCTGGGAGAAAGGTGGTGGTGGTAGCAAACAGCAGGAGCATCGCATTGATTGACTTGCCCTAAAACTTTACCTGGGGCAAAAAATGGCAGATTTGTAATGAGACCCAAAGAAGTCTTTATTTCTTTTCATATCTTATCCCACTAGCTGCCCTTGATAATGTAATGAGTCTAAGAAAAAAATAAAAATAAAAAAAATAAGCACACATATCACAGATCATTGTTGCACTAATCGGATTTCTCTCTGGCCTGTTTTAGGTTTATCCCACCACAATGCGAGCCCTGGGGATGGGAACAAGTGGGTCATTGTGCCGTGTTGGAGCTATGGTGGCCCCATTTATATCACAAGTAAGAGCGCACCTGATAACGTTGGCAAACATTCTGCTGATCATTGCTATCAAATATACAGAGAGATGCCCCTGAAGTTCACAAAAAAAAAAAAAAAAAAATTATTCAATTTCCCCCACCCTCACTCATTAGTTTTTTATCTAATGTTTATACAGAGTACTTATGTGGTCTTTGCCAGATGCAGATCTGCAAAAATCTCTTCCCGCTTGCTAGTATTTGTTCCTTTCTGAACGCTCTTAGATTCACAAGACATTGTTCTTTTATTCCCCAAGTCTCTGAGGTGTTTGTGACCCTTTGTCCACTCTTTAATTCCTAATGAACTGCCAGCCCCCCGCGCCACTGAGCTGATGTTTGAACTGTTCTGCCTGCAGGTCCTTATGAGTGCTTCTTTCATCGGGGCCCTGTGTCTCTTCTCATCTGTGTGCGTCGTGTGTGCAATCTCTGCGTTCACACTGCCCATCGAGACCAAGGGCAGGGCGCTGCAGGTCTGTATTACCACTCTAGGACCTCCTCTGTATCCAAATGCTATTTAGAAACTAGTAGATTATGATTCGGCCAGAATCTAAACCAAACTCTCCCGAGGGTTCATAAGCCAAAATGAAGCCCGACAGGCAAGCACAGGAACTCCTGTTGCAGCAGCTTAAAGCACTGTCACCCCAGTTGCCTAAAGCTCCGTTCTCATAAAAGAACAAACCAGAAATGCCCGCCCTAGCCCCAGCTCCCTCGTGCCAGCACGTTAGCTTCAGCTAGTACGAACCCTTCTTTGCTATTATCTCCAGTCCTGACTTGAAGCTGCTGCTTCACAGGCACGTATTCTGGCCTGCCTCTGCTGCAGGGAGAGAGGATAGCAGATAAATACACCACCTTAAACTACTAAAGCCATTTCTTCATCTGGTCGAAGTCAAAAGCCCCAACTGCACCAGGCCCTTAGCTAAGCCCTCGTGGCTAGTGTTTCCTATAAAGCAATTTGCCACAACACTAAGCACAAATATTAAGGGGGAAAGTTTAAATTCAGCCTCCCATGCGCAAGTCACATTAGTGTAATCGCATCCTGCAATTCAATGATTCAGCTTCACCAGCATGGAAATTTCCACGTCACGCATCCAGCACGCCCACATCACACTGCCTGTTATTCTGCAGTTTTACCTATATAAACCAGAAGACCATGGGCTAAATAATCCACATTCTTTAGCAGCCTAGAGCAAGACAGATGTTTGATCAAACCGTTTTATGTGGGCTTCCAAACCAGACTTTAAAAAAGCATATATACAAACACACACATATTACATATATATACACACGCTCTTAACAAACTTAACTTCATTGGGTCACATCTTCTAAGGTCTCCCCAAGGTGCACAGGACAGACAACCTTAGGGTTTTCAGAAAAGCAACACATTAATCATTGCCTGCTTCTTTAAGTGCTTGTCTTTTAGAAATGCTTGTTGGCTTTTTTAATGCCACTTAAAATATCTGTATGATATTGTGTAAACGACTGGGGGGAAAAATTAATCAAACTTTAAGTAAGGAAGTGGTCAAAGCAACTTATTCTTCCCTTGTGGGAAATTCAATCCCATGCACAGAGGCCAGAGAGGCACTTAGGACTTCAAATGGTTGGATTTACAATAATTACTAAGGAAAACACTTCATTAAAACTGCTTTAGACGTAAAGGAAAGCTTTGATTCAGCTACAGTTGGACTACCTTTGGTTAACAGTGGTCGAAGATAAATGGGAGTGTAATGATTCCTTAATGGGATCCCCTCTTTTCCTGGGGTCTTAACTCAAAAGCATTATTATCCTCCTTGCTACAAATAAGACTCACAAGCTCCAACTGCTGGCCTCTACATGCACATGTCAAAAGGACGGAAAAATAAAAGTCTGCAGAACTAGTTGTGTACTCAGAGAAGCCACCACTAGATCTTAAATTCACCTTGCTAATTCTTACCTCATGGTCATTTCCGAGATTACATTTGTGTACGTAGTCATTCGGGGCTTGCTGAATCATGACTGTTGAACATATTGTCCGAGGGCCTCACACAGTCCGGTCATCCAATCCACACAAGAATTTAAATACATGATGTACAAGCTCTTTTACTATGGCAATATTTAGTCCTAAGACTCCAGGCAATAGACGTGTTCCTTAAAACTAGGTCTAAATAAACCAACTAAATAAAAAATACGTAAGTAACTTTTTGTGAAATGTAGAGAGTGACATTTAAAAAGCCTATCTACTCTTGTTTCAGTTTATTAGGACAGCATCAGTCCACTCTCAAAGCAGTCGTGGCGATTGCCTATCAATCAGAGGCGAGACCTTTAGGATGTATCCAAAGGCATATTATTTTTCTCTGTATCCATTTCTGTTGGTTTTCCTGTGCATTTTATTAATTTTATGTATTATTTTTTCTTTCCCCTTTTTAGCAAGTAAAATGAAAGCAAGTGTTTGATGTTGGATTGGATAGGAAAGGAAAATAAAGCCCTTGGAATCTGTCATTTCCTGTGAGCTGCATTTGATGTTGATTGCTTCTCCATGCCATTTCCATTATAAAAAATTGCAACTGAACAGTGTAAGAGCTATGATTTGTATAGGCAAATGGCAAATTTCTCAAGGACATTCCCTTGCTTATGATTTCAATAAAAAGATGCTTTCTACCTGTCCCGTGAAGCGAGATGGAGACTCTTTACTACTAGTGCTATTAGTAATGCCATTCCACACACCAAACAAACAAACAGAAAAACAGCAAAAAAAACCCCACAAAAAATGGAAAACAGCCACCATTCAGTGGACTGAGGCAAAGCGGGGGAAAATACACAAAGTAGATACGGTCTTTGCCATAGCAGCTTGAAAGAATACGGTACTTTTCCTTAAAAGCAAAATAGCATAATCTACATTAACGTAGTTAAATTTAACATCTCTAACCTCATTGCAGTGGCAATTTGTGAATTCTTAGGGTGACATTGAAGACCACAAAATTAAAGTTGAGTCAGATATTTCCAGTGGGTTATTTAAACAGAGACATTTTCAAACAGCTTACAGCAGATAGATAAGTAACTGCACTGCAGGAGTACATCTACGCTCCTCTCCCCAGTATTTTCCAGTGGGAGAACAACTTGAGTGTGAAGCTATATAGGTGTTTAACTTCACTTCTAAATGCACTCAGCCTTCTAATAAATCTGTGCTTGCAACATCCCTCCGGAATGAAACGGGTGACCTGGTTACCCAGGATATGGCGAACGCTGATGTACTCAATGACAACTTTGCCTCTGTCTTCACTAGCAAATCCTTGATCCCACTGCCCAGGCCACAGAAGGCCGGTCAGTCTCAGGTAAATCCTTGATCCCGCTGCCCAGGCCACAGAAGGCCGGTCAGTCTCACGACCGTGCCTGGCAAGATAATACAGCAGACCCTCCTGGAGACTATGCTCAGGC